CTTACATGAGGCCAAACCCAACAACACATCAATAAAAACAACAAGCAATAAGCAAAATAAACAATACAATTAATATAACTCACACATAAACAAAACACACAATGATTTAAGAACCTATGGCCGGCTGGGATGTAGTACCAGTTGGGATGTAAATATTCTTAAAACTACGACATTTGAATAAAACATCTTATCCAAGACAAGCATTTTGGGGGGACAGAATAGAAGATTGCAAGATTGGGAGATCTCTGACCAGGAGAAAGAAGGGATCTCCCCCAGTGGAGCATCCCCTTTGTCCTCCTGTAACAAAACAACAACGGAAACATGTATTTGGGGACACAACAACAGACCCGACATTTGGGGGGATCCTTGAGAGTGAGGGACCAACCCAATGAAGACATCTTACCTAATGGAGACTCTCCTGTGTTGTCCTCTAGTTCAATCCAGCCAGAAGATAATATATTCCTGGTATCCAATGGTACCTCCTGGGCCTGAAGGACCTCTCTCTCCTTCTGCTTCTCCTGCAGCGCCTTCTCTTCTTGGGCCCGATTCAGGAGGAAGCCTTCAGCCAAGGCCACGGCCTGGGAACTGGTCTCTGCCCCACATTCCCTCACCCAGCGCCCCATCTCCGCAGGAATGACGGCCAGGAACTGCTCCAGGATCACCAGGTCCAGCATCTCCGCCTTTGTATGTTTCTTGGGTTTCAGCCATTGGCAACAGAGAAAGTGGAGGTAGCTGCAGACCTCTCGTGGCCCCAAGGCCTCCTCATAGCAGAAGCGTCGGAAGCGTTGGCTCTGAAGGTCTGCAGTGAAGGCCTTCTCCTCTAGATCATCCTTTGTTCTCTCCCAGAATCCAACTCTTCTCCTGTCCCACGTTTTATTGGGATCTCTTCCTCCTTTGGGGCTGGTCTGGTGTGGCTCCTCAACCATCACTCTGGGCTCCAAAACAGCTTCCATCTCTTGGGGCCCCAAGGCCTTCTGGAAGCGGAAACGCCAGAAGCGTTGGCGCTGAAGGTGTGCGCGGAAGGCCTTCTCCTCCAGGGCATCCTGAGCCATTCTGTCTGGGAACCCAACACTTCTCCTGCCCCACATTTCATGGGACCCTCTTCCCTCTTCGGGGCTGGTCTGGTTCCTCCATCTCCACTCTGAGCTCCATCTGGGCTGAAGAACCTCTTTCCTTCTCTATCTGAAGATGTCACAAAGCCAAGGCTACGCAAGACAAAGGGAAGATAAAGGCCAGGTTAATGATCTACCACCCTCAAGAGACTACAGGCTTCCTTGTAAGAAAAGCAAAGCCCTGGCAGCTTAGAGCAAACTTCATGATAGAATCATAGAATCAAAGAGTTGGAAGAGACCTCATGGGCCACCAGTCCAACCCCATTCTGCCAAGAAGC